GTACTGGTCAGTCTTGCTAAGCCCCACAGTTTAAACATTAAGCAGCCTATCGCTACAAGGGAATGGGTGGGTTAATATAGTTTTGTTAGGGGAAAACAGAGGACCTAACTTGCAGAGATAAGCAGAGGGCCTGGCCTGTGGGGTCTGGTTACAAAATGATTGTTGATGGTTTGCTAACCACTGGAGGGAACAGGCTAGTAGCTAGCTCCTGCCTCTAGACAACATTTTCCTCAAGGTAGACTAAAAAGTGATTGCCCTTTAAGGGTATACAGAGGGCATATGAATGAATAGTCATTAGGTTTTAAAAATATTACCACCACTGAATTAGCCTAAGAGCCTACCACCCTTTAGGTAGTATGAGAATGTGAACCCTGGTAAAAGCATAACTATAATTTTTTAAAAGATCATCTTCTCACCCTCTCTGATAAGTAAAGGAAAATCCTTGCCTTTACACAGCTTCCCTGAGTCATTTGCCTCTTGGTTTCAAGTCACAGTTTCAAATATGCATCTGTCTGATGCCCTCATCTGGGCAGGAGACTGCACCTTTGAGCTCTCTGCAGCATCACTGGGGAAGCCAGCCTTGTGAGAGCTCAGGCTCCAGCAGGGATGCGGACGGTTAACAAGGCAGTTTTGTCTGATTGCCACACAACGGTCAGTGATTCTTTCCTGGGATCAAAAGTTTATGAGGAAAAATAAGCCACCTTGGATTTCTTGGCATTGAGGCTAGACACTGTTTGCTTGTCCATAAACATCACTAAGCAGCTTTTACATTCAGTTTAACAGCCATGGTTTGAGTCCTTATGCTGAAGTAGGCCTAAGGAAAAGATGACTTAGAAAGTGCCTGCCATCTAGAAATTTGTGAGAGAAAAATGTGCCCTTACCTTCAACTGTACACAGGTCTTTTTTCATATACCTCCTACCCTTAGTGATGTCAGGTCAACCTTACATCTTAGATATCTGTCTTAACAGCTTAGCGTAGTGTAACATGTGCACAGTCTTCCCCTGACAGTTGCTCCTGACATCTTTCTTTTAGGTTTGACGAAGTGCTTTATAGATCATCTCAGGACCTTCAACCCAGGCACATTGTCAGCTATCTTCTAACTCTAAGGTACTTTCATAATCTTGCTATTTTCAGGTGTAACCAGACAGCTGAGGCCTGATCTGACAAAGGACCTTTCCTTCATCTGAAGTGTTCCTATAAATAAATCCTTTGGCCTAAAAATATTATGCGCTTTAAGTTACAGGAATTCTTGCTTCATCTTTGCAAATTAGCAATCAATGTTCATCTATTCAACTCAGTCAAGTGAACAGGAAACAGCAGCCTCATAGGAGGTTACAGAACAGTGCATATGTGTTAGGCTAGAGTGGATGTGAGAGAAAATGTCAGGGCACTCAGCCCAGCCTTGAGGGATCAGAGAGGGCTTTTCAGAGGAAAGGAGTAGATATTAACTAGGAGAAGCAAGGTGGCAGAGGAGGAGGAGAAAGCCCAGAATTAAGCAAGAACATGATCATTAAAGGAACGATCAGCATAGTCCTGGGCGGGGTCAGATGAAGCATTTCTGCCATGTACTAAGGCATTTCATCTTATTTTCAGGGCAGCAGGGTCCACAAAAAGGCTTTAAGCAGAGGCGTAGAAATATCAGCTAGAGGGCAAGAATGAATTGAGAAGCAAGTCAGTGACACTCTATGATAGGCATTTCATGGTAGCCATTTTAGAAACTTGACTATTTGATTCTGTCTTCTGAGTGATAACTGTCTCCCCATAAAGCTATTTAAGAAATATTTGTTTTTACTCAAGACTTATTGAAACCAAAGATTTATTGGGACTGTTCTCTTAATTATGCTTTTTATTTTGTCTTCTCTAGATTTAAATAATTTTTTCCTTTAAAGTCCACTTAGGCATATAGAAATGAAGAAGCCAGAAAGTCTTATTAAATGCCACTTAATCATTGAAACAAATGTCATAAGCATCATTTCTCTGGTACACTGCTGTAATTGCTGCCTTACCTAATTAGAAAAAATGTTTTAAAGATGAGTGGCCAGTATGTGTGCAGCGTGCACTCATAACTAGTCTCTACCTGACCTCTTCACCATACAGAGGGGGAAAGGCCAGACTATAAAGGAAGCCTATTGAGGAAAAGCTCATTAGAAAGGGGTCTCCTATACTTATAAAACTAATAATGAAACCATCATCTTTTTTCAGAGAGGGAGGGAGGGAGGGGGATCGGAGAGATGGATTTGTTGTTACACTTACACTGAGTGGCCAGGTTATTATGACCACCTGATGTTTGTAGGCAAATTAGGTGTACACTGCATCGTATGGGATATGGAAGCCGAAGGCCTGTTCAAACACCTTTGGTGTCTGCAGTTACCAAGATAAAACATCTCCAATTCGCACAGGAACACAAGGATTGGACAGTCGAGCATTGGAAAAAAGTCATGTGGTCCAATGAATCATGCAGTTGCATCCCACATGCAATGAGTACAACCCTTCAAGCTGGTGGGGGCAGTGTTATGGTTTGGGGCATGTTTTCCTGGCATGATTTGGGCCCTTTAATTCATGTGGAACAACATCTGAATAGCACAACATACCTAAGTATCGTTGCTGATCAAGTTCATTCTATCATGTTGATGGCATATCCCAATGGAGATGGCTTCTTCCAACAAGACAATGCGCCATGCCACGGTGCTCGTATTGTGCAGGAGTGGTTTCAAGAACATGAGGGAGACTTTACCTTGCTTAGGTGGCCCCCACAATCACCAGATCTCAATCCAATTGAGCATTTGTGGGACGAAGTTAAAAAAGCCATCAGGCAGCTGGTTCCACAACCATCAAATCTCACAGAACTGGACAGTGCTATTCATCAGATATGGTGTCAGATTCCTCGCATCACCTTTAAACATCTCATGGAGTCAATGCCAAGAAGAATCGCCACAGTATTGAAGGCAAAAGGTGGCCCAACGAAGTACTGATGGGGTGGTCATAATAATCTGGCCACTCAGTGTATTTATGCATTCATTGGTTGCTTGTTTCCCAAAACCTTGGCATCTCGGGATGATGCTCAAACCAACTAAACTACCCAGCCAGGACCTTCAACTTTTGATACATTTTAATGGTTGTATATAGGCTTTGATTTTTTTCTTTTAATCTTTAAATTGAGGAAGTAAGATTAGATATCAGGCTTATATGTTACAACAGGAAATTACTACTGGTCCTGATCAGGATTTCTCTTTTCAGTCACCTTGCAGCTGTGGCACACAGAACACTGCCCATAAAACAGAGTCCTCCTGAAGTGGCTGGGGTATGTTACACTGAGTGTTTTGTGTATAATCTCTAGCTTCCCCAGACTAATATTACTGAGTCAGTCTTGCAAATGTTTCTAAAATAGTATCCAATTGTTCAACTACAGCAGTGTACTTAATAATTAGAATTGGGTTGTAACAATCAACATTTATCTACTTTCCAACATACTAAACTATGAAGTAGATTTTCCTACATAAAGTGTTAGAGATTGGTTCCCTTTTTGAATCTGTGCTGTATGATGATACTGTCACTCTCTCCCCAACCCTTGGGTACCAGTGTTACTGTTAGGGATTCTAGGAATTTGTATTCCCTTGCCTACAGCAAACCCCAGGGAACTTTTCAGATATTGTTTGTACTTAGAAGAAAGTTAAATTTATTCTTAAAAACATTCTTATTCATTTTATAATTAGCCTATTATTGAACATTTAATCATTCTTTGATTTATTTTGCAGGCCAGACTTCATCTTTTCAGAGCTGTCCGTTCTGTCCTAGCCAATGGAATGAAACTTCTTGGAATAACACCTGTATGTAGGATGTAATTTCCAATGAAAATGGCTTTTTAAATACTAATTAATTCTAGTTATCTATTCTTATATGCCTTGCTGTTTAGAATTTTATTATTCTGTGTCAGAATCTGTATATTAAGTCTATAAGTGATTTATCAACTGATTAAATCTTAATCCTTAAAAAGAAATCTTACGGTCATTAAGTATTAAATAGACTTTTATAAAATTCATTTAAATCTTTTCAATGCATTGTGGTCTAACAGGAATAAAGGGTTAGAGTTTAAATTCTACTTTGAGGTTTCTCACAATGTCATTCCTCCAGAAACTATTCTTTATATATATATATATGACTTTTTACAGAGAGGAAGGGAGAGGGATAGAGTCGGAAACATTGATGGGAGAGAAACATCCATCAGCTGCCTCCTGCACATCTCCTACTGAGGATGTGCCCACAACCAAGGTACATGCCCTTGACTGGAATCAAACCTGGGACCCTTCAGTCTGCAGGCCGACGCTCTATCCACTGAGAAAAACCAGCTAGGGCCAGAAACTGTTCTTATAACCAACTAAGATTACCTAATGTTTACATCAAATTTGTTATAATTATGACTAGTCTGAAAAAATTTAGAGAGACTAGTATTACACCCTTTTGCCAATATAGCTGATAACACCCAGAGGACAGATCTCGTGTTTATCTTTTTGTTGATACGTATACAGGTAACTTACTGCGTGAACTCGGGAACTGGATACATTGAATAACAAGAAATTACTTGTACATAAACCGTTTACTTCACGTATCTGCATATTGGTAAAGTATGTTTTGTGTGATTGTTTAGGTTAACATGTGATCTGTTTGATCAGTATGGCTGCCAGCATTTCCATTTGGGACTGCTGTAATTTATTTTAAATGTTGCTACGAGAAGTCTTCTCTAGTATCAGTATCAGTGATTATCTAATTTTACAAACCAGAGGGGAAAATTAGCATGAACCAAACTTCTTAGTTGAATGAATATAGTTTTATATTAGCAAGTATGGTATACCATCTTTAGTCATAGTTGGCTACTATTCGCAACTAAAAAACACTAACTAATACAATTTCAACATAGAGAAAATTTTAAATGTAATGTTTGGGGTTTATGTTTTTGGCATTACCTTAATGGTATAGCTATAATACAAAAAGTGATCAAACCGATTTCATATAAAGTTTATTGCTGAATTTCCCTATTCATATAAAAATTTTTTTAAAAAACAGAATTTTATAAATTATTGAGAGCCCCACAGCTAAACATACTTTATAAAAAAAAGTACAAAAGACAGTAGAAATATTTTTTGGAGAAAAGTATATCATCTAACAGCAAAGAAATATGAATCCATACAATAAATGGCACAAATACAGCACTTACAGGAGTATTCAGTCACCACCCAGAAATCATTGTCTTGAGTTATGAAATATTCAGTTTGAGAAGTTCCACATTCAGTTTGTTTCTGACTAGCCTGTCTTGTTTTTGTCTCCCTTGTAAGAAAAGAGTTAGGTCATTACTGCTGCTGGAACAAAATACTCTACATGAATTGGGGAACAAGGAGGGGCCATCCTTCTCCCCTGGTACCTGAACAAGACAACAGTTAGTACAGAAATGGCTTTGGCACTTTAACCTTTAACATTGTCCCAAACCTTATTATTTGAATATTATATCCTCACATGATTTTTTAACCGTACTATCTCCATATTTTTATATACATTATATATACAATAAAAAAATTCATTCTAAAACAAAATGGGTTGACCCCAAACAGGTCACATTAAATCTTGGTAGCAATTCACTAAAGATAGCTTTCTTCTTAATTCTTATACCACATAGTTAATTGGTTATTCTTTAAGCTACCTTCTGGGGTTGACTTAAGGCTCTAGTTTAATGCAAATGGTTTCAATCTTAGTAGGAATCTCCTTTGAGGCTGAAATTACACACCACTGGCTCTTCCTTTTGAGGCTGTTTCTCCTTGTTGGATGGATGTAGTATCTTGTCTGGGTAATCCATAGAAATAAATAGAAATACATACGAGAAGAGTACCCAGAGCAAAGGTGAGTGCTGAAAAGGAAACAAAATAAGCTTAATTTGTATTGTGTCTGTAAAACTAATATAACAAATGATTGGTTTAGAATTTTAAAGATTTTCAATTATGGGTTCAGACCATTCCTCTATTTGCATTTATGACAAGAGTCAATTTTAAAATGGAATGTAAATATGGAAAATACGTAAATCTGTTTCTATGATTATAAGGTTTAGAAAGACCAACGAAGTGACAGTATACATACACTTTTCAGAATACAAGTATGCCTATCCTGAACCATTGACAAAGAACATACTAACTTCCCTCTACACTGACTGAAATAAAGAGAAGTGGAGTGTGCTTTTCATGATACTAGAAACCTATGCAAATTTAGAGCCAAGGTAGTTAAGTAACCAATAATTAAATCTACTGAAGATTTCTAAATAGGAGAAGTGGTGATTTACTAAGTAAAATTCCATTTTCTGCTAACCTTGTTTTTTTTATCATCTTAATCCTAAAAATCAGGACACCACTGAATTACAACTTGTCTCAACTTGACCAGTAGTCACTAGAGGGCAGATGCTCCGACCAGTAGATTAGCTTGCTGCTGGGGTCCAGCCAATCAGGACTGGACAAGAAGTGCTGGACACGCCCTGGAGCCCTCCCTCAGTTCCCCCACCCCCCGGCCGGCCCCAATCCTGCACCGGTGGGGTCCCTCGGCCTGGCCTGCCAGGACTCCTCGGGGGGATGTTGGAGAGCTGGTTTCAGCCCGATGCCAGCAGGCCAGGCCAAGGGATCCCACCGGTGCACGAATCCATGCACTGGGCCTCTAGTAAATAAGAAACTGGAAGATTGCTAAGACAGTCTAATTTCCTTGACCATCATTAACACAGAACATTGACCAAAGCCATTTTATACTGTTCCCAAGTACAGTGGGGCCTTGATTTACAAGTGTCCCGACTAACGAGTTTTTTGAGATACCAGCTGTTTCTCGGCCAATTTTTTGCATTGAGTTGATAGAGTAATTTGAGTTAACGAGCTCCTTAACGAGCTCAGTCTCGGAACTAATTAAACTCGTAAGTCAAGGCCCCACTGTATTATTTAGGAGCAAAGTCATAAGGATTTGTTGAGCATAAGGATGGATCAGAACTTCAATTAAAAGTTCACCCAAATCAGGTAAGAAAAATATCTAAAGGAGGGCCTATACCTGACACTTAAATGGTTGGCCTTATACAGAATACTTACTACGTGACAGGCACTATTCTAAGAACTTTCCCTAAAACAACCCTAGGAGGTAGGTGCTATTACCATTCCCGTTTTACATATGAAGAAACTGAGACACAGGTAAATAATTTCCCCAAGGTTGTACAGTTAATAAATGGCACAGGCAAAATTTGAGCCATCAATAATAATAAAAGCATAATATGCAAATCAACTGAACAGCAGAACAACCTTCCGGACGACCACCCTATGACACCAGGCCAGCCAAGACAGGTGCAATGTGATTGGTTGGGGCCCGGCCATTGCCCCACAAACACCCTGCAAAAGGAGGCCCAGGCCACCGGAACAATCAATCGGGGAGCTCCATGATCACCCCAAAGAGAGAGTCCCAGAACACTGACTGGCGGGCTTCGGCAGGTAGGCAGGGCCTCCCTCTGCGGGGCACAATCTATCACCCCAAAGAGGGAGGCCCAGGCTGCACTGCAGCGAGGCCTCCCTCTGCAGTGGTGATCCATTATGGAGCTCCAGCCAGGTTGGTGGACCTCCCTCTTTGGGGCAATCGATCAAAGGGCCCTGGCCAGATGGGCAGGGCCTACCTCTTTGGGGCGATCAACGATCAATCACAGGGCTCCTGGACTGTGGAGGGCACAGGCCAGGCCAAGGGACTCTCTCCTCCCCACCACCACCCAGTCCACCAATTTCGTGCACCGGGCCTCTAGTACTATAAAATAGTTTCTAAGATGTCTACAAGGTTGGTATTTCTCTACTTGCATTTATAACAGGAGTCAATTTTTAAATGAAATATAAACATGTTTCTTTTCAGTGTTGATATTTGACAAATTTTCCTCGTATTATTAAATAAAATTATTATTACAGCATAAAACCCCCTTAAATGTTAAGTCAGCATCAATGCTTAAATAAGAAACCCAACTTAATGCTGGGCGTGGGCTAGGGACAACTGTATTAAGAGGACTAGTATAGTCCTATAGTAATGAATTTTATATCAGTTACATATTAAATGAAACAAAGATATCTTTATAAAAGAGAATAGAACATTTAGGTTTGAATTGTAATTTCAAAACCAGTTTGCACCCAAGTCCAAAACAATTAGGAAGGTACAAACTAAGGGGGAAATGAAAGAATCTGTCTGTTCTTTACTCAAAAAGCCTTGCTTATTCTAATTCTACTGCTTTGAAAGTAATAAATTCCAAAAGTCCTTATACTTATTTCCTCATGTATCTCATCATAGTATATTCTCCCTGAAGCATTTAAGTTGTCTTATCTAACATCTGGGGAATTGGGAGGTCTTGCCTGTAAAAAAGCTTAACAGTAGCCCCCTCACTTTCATACACAATGAGCACCCCTCAGCTTAAGCTCTAGAACTATTTAAAAACTAACACCCAAGTACTGCTGATCCATATTCCACACAACTATGAACTGCAGCACTTGTAGAATAAATTATAACGAAACTAGGAATTTCTGTAAAACACCATGACCATGCCACATTTAAAAGACAAATCAAGGAAATGAGAGGCTTTTCCATGTTAAAAACTTGAAAATACAAACTAAGACATACTTATCTGTAATCCAAACAGCAGCACTGAAGCAATGGTAGAAAGAACAATGGCTGCTGCTGCAGAAAAGCCTTTCATGATGTTGTCTGTGTACTTGACCACAACAGAAGTGTAGAGGCCTCCAACACTTGCGAGAACTTGTATATAGAAAGAAAGAAAATGTTAACATGCTAATAAATGAAACATTCTATGATGGTAAGGAAATGTTCATCCTCAAAGGTGGCATACTATTTTCCTTAGAAGCAGCCACCTGTGAGAGTTATATTAAAATTTAGCAATAGTTCCTACAAAACTGTTTTTCAGATGCCCAAAGGGCTATGTGGTCCACTATTAAATTGTACACATTTATTGCTAACACATTAGATAATTCTGATTAAGAAAGCAAGATTGCTTTGGGACAGCTATGCCACAAAATTAAGTCAATAAAACCAAAATTACATTTTCAAACTAGTGTTCACAATATAAAGGAACAACTTTAAAATGCTATAAACGCTTCAAATAGACATCTGACTCTTTTTTTTTTTTAAGGGTCTACCCAGAACCTTTGATTCCTGGATACTTACAGATGACAAACCAGACATAATATGTGTAACCATAGAAAAATCCTTTTTCTTTAATTTCAGCTCCATCTGACAAGTAGACGCCAACTAATGTCACAACAATCCCTGATAGATACATTTGAATGTTTCTCACCCAAAGGGAAGTGTCTGAACTCTTTAAAACTTTTTCAAAGTACACTCCTAAAAGAAAATTACACATGCAAATATGAGACAAAGATATTATTAGAAATTAACTTAAAAAGAACTTCCTAACTCGCATTTAACAGGACTCTAAATTACGGTTAAGAACAGTTCTGCCATTATTATAGCAGTAAGATACATCACAAAACTCTATTAATGCTAATAAAAAGACTTACATTGGTCAGCTGGAAAACTATACTATTAGAGTCAATATCGTAATCACATCCTTATAAAATCTGCCTATTAGTGAATATTCCCAGCTTTGCAAAGTAACCTGTATAATCACCACTTGGGATTTTTTCAGAGGAAGTAACACAACCAAAATGAAATTTTAATAGAACTTGCTGAGTGGAGCCATTTGCCTTTAAAGCAAGGCTCCCCAAGCCACGTTCATACACAATGTCAGAAGGACCAAGAACTCTGCATTTTTCTGTGTTTGGGACGACCACAGCTTTTTTCAAATACTCTAAAAGAGCGCATGATACCTCCCCATCCACCCCCAATCAGTATTGTAAGTTTTACTCTTGAAATGAACACATTTAACAAAGATATTGAAGATTTTAATTATAAATACCATGTGAATTAGAGATTTAGAAATCACCACTGAAGTACTAATCCACTAAAAATTCTAATGAAAAACAAGATTGATTTTGACAAACATATTGGGAAGAGCCAGAAAATGGGGAAAAACATATAATTTCCACCTATGAATTTCCTATCTGGGAAAACCTCTTAACTAGTGAGTGCTCAGTTATTCCAGTATAGAGGGATAGTAAGCCACTCACCATTTCTTCAACTGTTTATTAAGAAATTGAACTAACTAGAATGTTGGACACAAACATTTAATTGTTAAAAGTAATGCTAAAAAATCAAATAGTATATTATTTGGGGGGGGGGGGCAACACAACTTTGTTTCTAATTTGCTCGTTACTAAGAATAAAAATTTAGCATGATGCTATCATTAGGTATGTTCTCAAATTTAGATATTCCCCTCTCATCAAACATCTTTTTTTATAATCAATATTTCACTTCCATATCCAGCCTACTTTCCTAGTCAAAAGTAAAAGCAGAGTCCAAACTCTTGAAATAACACAAATAGAGGTAAAGTCATATAGCTATAACTAATATACTCTTTACCAGAAAGAACTATCTCTAAAACACATTTTATTTCTTATGTTACACATTCATATACTGTCTCTTGATTGAGTGCAGAATGGCTGTCTCTACACAATTCCAGATTTCTTTATTTGATGTTAGTGATTTTGATTATTGTCCCTCCATTTTTGGCTGTTACTTTATGTATTAAGTGTTCTGATACCCTCTACCCCACCCCTTTTTTCTCCCTGTTGAAGCAGGAAGTTACGAGGGAAAAACAAATACTGGGCTGGACTAAGAATGGTCAAAACAAGTATATTCTTAAAGAACTGCAAGTATGAGTAAAGAGTGAGGTCTGAACTGAGTTAAACACTACCATGCATTTATTGGAAAAATAGCTGACATAAACTAAACTATAGGTAAGCTTTAATGGAAATAAAATGTTATAATAAAACAAGATAAACTAAATCCCTATTTAAAGCTTGATATTTTTAAAATTGGGTAACAGTAAAATGCTTTTATGATTTACCTGCAAATCCTGAGCACAATACAGCAATAGCTATAGCACCAAACCCTAAAAATGGATTCTGTTCCACCTGCAATAATAATGTTTTAAGTTATTTTTAGTGAATAATAAATAGAATTCATCCAAGAGAAGAGACCAAATAAATGAACACAAAAATTTGTGTTACAGTTTTACTTAAAGTATTTGCCATATTAGACACGGCTATTCTATAGTCCTAACTCTTGAAATAATACAAATAGAGATAAAGACATATAGCTATAACCAGTTATAGAATGGAATACCCCCCCCCCCAAAAAAAAACCCCACAAATATAATCTTGATTTAACAAGTCTCTAGTATTTAGAACAAAGTTAATTAGCAAGTTACATCTCACACTGCTCAGTCAACATCTAGAGATAGTGTAAAGTTTTAGGACATAATGAGGAACGGTAACAGATGAATACATCTAGAAGAGAAATACAGGGAAGTATTGGGGCAGGAGGCAGGAATCGGGAAGTCTCTAGAAACCAAATTCTAGAAAGAAGCCACAAGGTTGTCTCAATGAGGAAAAAAGGCTTGGAGAGGAAGGATGTGACACTGTCCTCAAACATTCAGAGGCTATGTGGGAGATAGTAGGAATTTGAGTTATTCTGACAAGAACGAAGAACAATGAGGCAGTTACAGGAAGCTGTACCCTGTTTAAAGCATAAAAGAACTTTTTAGAGCAACGATTTTCAACCTTTTTCATCTCATGGCACACATAAACTACTGAAATTCCAAAATACACCAAAAAAACATAACTTTTGCAGATCTGACAAAATAATATTTTGATTCACTCACACCAGACAGCTATGGTTGTTGTCTTGTTTTTTTGTTTTGTTTTTAATTTCAAAATCTTAGGTAAAAGAGGTCAGTACCCCTGACTGAATAGTCAGGTATTGCATGTTTTAAAAATTCCTGTGGCACTGGTTGAAAATTGCTGCTCTAGAGGTATCCAAAAGTAGGATAAGCTGCCCTAAACTCTGCTTTAGTTTATTAAACTCTTCATGCACATTACCTACATGAGGTGGACCTAACATCTTTTCTAATGGTGTGAGGTATTACTTAAAGTTCGTATTTAACTTTTAATTACATATTGGCCTTATTTCCCAACAAATTTCTTTGAAAGTCTACAACTGAGTTCAATATGCAGTGCATGGTTATCAGTGTTTTGAAATGTCACCAAGAATATGAGCATGTTTAAACATGTGAAGACAATAAATATTAATCTAAAACTCATTTTCTTGGGGGGCGGGGGGGGGGGGGGAGAAATCTCCTCCAGACTAGAAAGGAACTGACTTCCTGTTTTTACAGGCTCTCCTTACATCCCCAGCTGCCCTAAATTCCTAAAAAAAGCTTTCATTTATTAAAAGTTGAAGTCTTCCGTTGTAGAAAGAAACTAATGACTTTCAGAAAGTCATTCACTGGAGTTCCACTTCCTACAGCTCTTTAAGAAAATAACCAATTAAAGCGTATAATATTTTTAAAAATTCAGGTATGTACCTTAACATTTAACTTTTAGCAAACTAAAAGTTGTAAGTAAAGTACACATTTTGCCCTATTTTAGTTATCAATTATCAGTAAAAACACTACCCTTTAATCTCTATGACTGACAGTGGGAGTATATGCAAAAGGATAAAAAACTGCCCCGGCTGGGTGGCTTAGTTGGTTCAAGTGCCATCTCATACACCAAAAAGGTTTCAGGTTCTATTCCCAGTCAGGGCACATACCTAGGTTGGGGGTTTGATCCCCAGTCTAGCGCACATGATAGGCAATCGATTGTTTCTCTCCCCCCAGCCCTTCCTCACGTTCTAAAATCAATATACATATCCTCAGGTAAGGATTTTAAAAAGGGGGATAAAAAAACTGTGAAGTTGGGGGTACAGAGAGATGAAAACTAGATGGACAAAACGTTGCCCAGTGTTTCTGAGAAAATGTCTTAACGAGGCTTAAAAGTTCTGAACATACACACTTTGGTAGAAGTCACAATTTTAGTTACAGGTTACTTCACCTCTTTGGACTTCAGTTTTGTCATCCATAACATTAAAGAACCTTCCATCTCAAACATTTATGCATATTCCCCTCTAAAAACAAAGAAAGCCAATAAATTACATTATCCTTAGTAATACACTAACGGGATTTTAAAAGCCTATAAATAGAGCAAATATTTTCAATCAAAGAAATATAATGGTACTGTATTCATCATCAATGTGACTAAAGTATATAAGACATAGGAAGTTTTCTATTTTAGTTATGGTAAGCATTTTGTTTCTTACCATGACTTTCGTAGCTTGAGCTGGTTTCCACTGTACAAGTATAACTCCACCACACAGCATAAAAACTGAAATCCACTGTACTTTGCTGAGTGTCCGGTTCAACATTAAAACAGTACATAAAGCAGTACAAGGAATCTTCAATTGGTAGGTCACCTAGAAATAAAATAATGAATTAATGAACTTAACATTAATCTCTGACACCACTATGTCTGTTATCATTAATAGAATTATTGAGAAAAACATCTGATAATGTGATAAAGGGTTAATAAAAATAATTTCACCATAAAAACATTTTTAAAGATTCTGCTCTCCATTATCATTTATTCCACTTACCTGGTACACTGCTGCATCCAGGTTGCTAAGAGCTAGGAAAGCCATGTTGTTCTGAACAGCATACACTAATGATGGCACACTTAACTTCATCAGTTCTTTGGGGCTCCCCAATACATTTTCTCTTAACGAAGTCTTGAATCTACCCAGACTACCAGTTTCTCTTTTAAAACAAAAGGGAGGAAAGGAGAAGGAGTTGAGGAAAATTAAAGAGCATCCTTTGGATAAGAATTCTTCACACACAGAATAGCTATATTAAGTCCATTGATGTTAATTTAGCAAATTTATTGTCTTTATAATTTTCAACTAATTTTAGATTTTAAAAAATGCCAACAATTGCATAAAAGAAAAGCAGTTAATAAGTTCTCTTTGGGAAAGTATGAAAACAGGTTTACCATTGTCAGCCTCTGATGAAAGTTCCAGGAGTTTTTGAGTATATTAAATAAATAGTAAGACAGCAGGAAGCCAGAAATGCTGACGATTACCTATTTAATTTAACCCCTGACACTTTAACTGCCATTACATCAAGTTCACCCTGATTATTTCTTAATCAGGTTGCATATCCGTTTTTAAAGTTTTTTTTTATTACAATAAATTTAAATTTTAAAAGAAAAAGGCTTTGGTAGCTATGGAAGTTACTTGGGATAGGAATTGATGGATTCAGGTCAATATCATTTGCAACTTAGCTCAGTGCTTATGAAGTATAGTGGACAATCAACTTTTAAGCATATTCTCATAAAACTCAAGTACCTATCTATAATTTTGCAGGAAATCTGCAACTAATACCAACAAAAACTATAATGAATATAAAGTTTACTACTTGACTGCATATTGATTATCCATGCTCTTAACTATTCTTATTTTTCCTCAGGAGGAACAAGACAATCTGGCTTATTTCTCCCATTGTAAATCATAATAAGCATCACACCAAAAAAAGTACTTTATCAAAAGGGCCTAACTGCAATTCACAATATACTTAGGAGGACCATAATACTTTGTTGACCTGTTTCAACTCCAAGTTTGATACAGTTAACTTATTAGAATCGACAGTCATTGATTTTTCTCCTACAAAAATAATCATCAATGTTCTAAGGAGGAGCAAAAAGTCCATAATGTTAAATTGACTACCTATACCTATCCAGGGTACAACACTCCAGCCCCCAAGACAATGCTTAAGTGCTTAATTAAGTAAGGCAGGAAATTTGGCCTAGGCCACGGAAACAAAAGATATCCTGAGTTACAGATCTTCCTCTGTTGCCAAATTCACCCTGCTCCAACGGTAAATCTATATGCTGAGAAGTTGAGAAGTAACACACATGGCTTGGTGGGAGATTGCAATCCATCCAGAGGAGGCAGAAAATATCAGAAAGGTCACTCTGAGAAATTTTACAGGGTAGGGGTTTCCAAGGATCTGAAGATGGGCCCTTTAAACATTTCACATTCTTTTTTAAATTACTTTTAGTGCAAATCTAAGGTGACCTATACACTTTCTCAACATCTTAAAACAGAGTATAAAGAATTTTTCAAAGAATGTTTTCCCTCAATTATCAAATTGAAGAAAAAATTAAAGAGAAAACAATCAGAGTTCTAACCATCATTAACAAGGTGACGTATTAGAAACATAATTCAACATTTTCCTTAATGTCATAATTCTCACTAGTAAGCAATTATATGATAGTAGAGATATAAATCTTACAGATTTTGTTAAGTATAGAATACTGCTTTCACCATACTTTCAATGCCCTTCTAAAATACTGACATATATTGACATATTCAGAGTGCTTCCCCAAGGAGCTACTGAGATGTACCCATCTGTACCCATTTCCCACATTCTACCTCCTTCCATGTCCACTGATCTCCCACCTAAGACTCCCCGAACTCTAGTATAGTCACTATTTTTCCTTTCCCTAATCTCCTGCTATGGGCAATACCATTTACCTTCACCCATTAGAGATACTCTAAGCCAGCGGTTCTCAACCTGGGGGTCAAATGACCCTTTCACAGGGGTCGCCTAAGACCATCGGAAAACACATATATAATTACATATTGTTTTTGTGATTAATCACTATGCTTTAATTATGTTCAATTTGTAACAATGAAATTGGGGGTCATCACAACATGAGGAACTGTATTAAAGGGTCACAGCATTAGGAAGGTTGAGAACTACTGTAAGCCTTCAACAGCATCAAGTTAATTTTTGGCTAATGAGAGAATACAGTTGATCTATCACTGGTACCCTTTTGCCTGTCGGAATATGGGCTACTTAACGATCTTATTGCTATTTCTAATAACCATACCTGTACCAATAATCAAGATTGCTGTAGCCCCTTTCCTCCCTGTCACTTTTCTCCTTTCTTATCTCTTCTTCCATACTTTCCAGTTTTCACAAAAACATGGCCCTATGAGACCACCAGCCAGTCTGAGTACACCTTTCCTTACATGTGACAAACCACTAGAGAACAGTGTTTTGGATTAACCTTCAGATCTTTTGCTCTTCTGACTATATCTTTTGTTCAATGCTTCGGAGCTACTACTTACTCACTGCCAGTAAGGTCTTAGCATCTTTTTCTGGTTCCTTTGCTAATGTGGACGTTTGAGAAGCCAAGCTATACCAAAATGCTAACTACTAGAATGCTCAAATTTCACTGTAGTACCTCAGAATTACAGCAATATTATCCTATGTAATAAAAGTCTAGGTGGCGTAGCACGAGGCTGTCACAAGATGGCCACGCGCACAGCGGAGGAGGGGCCCGGCGGCCACTCCGCACAGTGAGGCCTGGGGGTCCCGCGGCTCTGCAGGCAGGGGAGCAGTTAGGGGGCAATCAGGCAGGCAGGCAGGCGAGTGGTTGGGAGCCAGCGGTCCCAGATTGTAAGAGGGATGTCCAACTGGCAGTCAGACATTCCCTGAGGGGTCCCAGGTTGGAGAGGGTGCAGGCCGGGTTGAGGGACATTCTTCCCCGCCCCCCTCCCCCCGCATGAATTTTGTGCACCGGGCCTCTACTATAATTATAAGGTATTTTGAAAAAAGTTACAAAAAATGTCAGAGGATACTAAAAGAACTTGTAAAAAGAAAACACAAGCTCGGGAATAAAAGAAAAATAGGTATAAGAAAGAAGAAAATGTGGGAATCAGTACACAGAAAGTTTTAAAGATGATGATAATGATTTCAGTATTAATCAGATTAAATCCTGCTTAATTTAACATGTATTAATACAGCTCTGAAAGCTTATATTTAGCTTTAATCACTACAGTTTAAAAAAAAGTAACAGCAATATATCTTCCAGAAAACACTAGTAATCATCAATCCTTTTACTATTTAGTAGACAAAAATAAATGATCAATTCTAAATATACTGCAGCCTTAAATATACTATAAAAAGTAACAAATAAAAACCAATGCCCCCTCTCTCTCTCTCTCTCTCTCTCTCCCCCGCCCCTCCCCACCCCACCCTGACCCCCAGCTTAAAAAAAGAAAAATCAATGGCCATTTTCTTCTTCCATTTTCATGCCTTCATATTTACCCAAGTACCTTAATGAGTACCTTTTGTTAAAAACAAATTTATTAAATTTAACTCTGTAAATGGCAATGCTAGATAAGAGAAAGAGCATGTATAGACAAAAAGCATATACTCGTTTTCATAAACGTATTTCCTACTTGAACAATGTTATTTTTATCACTAAAACAAAATCTATGTGCAGCCTTTTGTTACCTGAAGAAATTGAGGCTCCATATTGATTGCAGAGAGATTCCAAGGCCTCCACCCCTCATAAATTTCCTATCAAATGCTGCAACCAATTCTTTCTGACCTATATTTGGTCAAAAGTAGGGCTCATTCTTCCAGCTCCTGATCTGACGAGAACTACTAGGAGGCATAAAATCCTTGGCTAGGTTACCAAGGCACTGTGCTAAATGGAACACAGCATAAGTTACTTATGAGCGTAAGAAATTTAAATCTTACAAATTTCCTATCATCTGTAAAGTATAATTAACTTACATAAAAGACTTAGGGGGCCAGGTATAAAAACCAATAATGAGGTCATATGAGGACAAAAATACTCATATGAGGTACAAGACTTTTACTATCACATGTCCCTACACCCCTTATAGCATGGATACAGAGAGGCAGTCAAAATGTAAACTCAGCAGGAGAAATAGAATAGGGCTGGATAATCTACAACATAAGTATTTGATAGCTACATTAATTATTCTAGGTAATACTTGAAATAATAAAAGAATTTCCTCCAGCCTTATGTGGATAGTAGCTCAAAGATTTAAGACACATGTGCTTTATTACTAAACACACCCAAAGTATATGTACATTTATACATCCTACTAGATTTATTTTATAAACTGTGGTGAATAGCAAACAATAAAAAGTTGACTTTGTTCTGGCAATGTGAAAGTGTTTTCATTTCCTTCTCTTCATAGCACAAAAGACTAAATCAAAACTGTCCGTTTTAATAGCTATGACGGTTTAATAAATCATACAAGTAACCAGTAATTTTCCTGTGAATTATAATAGTAATTAGTTTTATGAAGAACCAAAATATTTAAAATGTTATACTGTTTTATGTTTAAATGAGATTACAACTTAGAAATTGGTAACTTATAATTCAAAGATTTTAGAAATTAACTATTCACATAAGAGCATTTACACCACCAAAATATTAATTTGCCCCCTCACCAAAACAGAATTTAATCGTTCCCTTCTCAATTTAAAAGTGATCTGATGTAATCATACATGTACACTACAGTGTATGTAAAAAGATAATTATTTCATTTTTGTAGTAGCAGAAGACTGGAAATGACCCAATGCCCATCAATAGAGACTCCTATATCTGATACATCCATACAATGGAAAACCATGCAGCTCTCAAAAAGAATGAGACGGATTTCTATGTACTGACATGGAACAATAATCTCTAAGGTAAATAAAGAGGAGTACAGTCTATACTGTGTATATATAGACACACGCATATAACTAAAACTCACCAATTAGACCACATATACCTTAAATCTTATTTATCAAAGTAACTGTCCATTCATTCTTCCCCATACTCCATTATGTTCTTGCAGTTCTAACTTATCTTCTCATTGAAATAAGTATATTTTCCATTCCAAAAATTACTGCAAATTATAAGTAAAATCAACAAGCATGGGAAAACCCAAATTAATTACTAACAGAAACTAAAAAGAACTGGTCAGTTTTTTTAATTACAAAATTACACTGAAGCAGAAAAATAACCCAAGTATTCCAAACAGTCTATGTGCTCTAAAACTAAAGGCAAAAAGAACTATATACAAAAACTGAACTTGTTAGTAGGTTTGTTTTTCATATTGTATGTTAGAAATTCTAAATCTACTTATGTATTCTAGAATTGAGCAAATAAATATCTTAAGAATAATGGGAGCCAGACTCGCCACCACTGAAGAAGGGAACAAATATGAAAAAGGGGAAGGTTTAATCAACTCTGCAGTGTTGGATCAGAATTATAGGCATCAAACAATATGTAACTCACACAGTTACACACACAGACATATATATGTATACATATGTATACACAGGTAGGTGTGTATATGTGCACATACATATATTTCCTAGCTCTGTCTGCTGAGAGGGCCTAGAAGCAATGATACCCCAGTAGCAATAAGCACACTAGTATCTATATTCTTGTTAAGTACCATTCTGGAAAAAAAAAAGAAAGAAAAAGGAACAAAGCTTCAAGGCTTCTTGGAGAAATGTATGGTTTCAGAGTTGGGGCAGGGAAAATCCAAGATCAGTCTTGACCACCTTGGCATGAAAAAAAAGATAGAGAAACTGTTCTAGATTAAAGGAAGCTACAGATACAGCAACTCGATGTAAACTTACTAATTTACTATTAAAGGACAATAGTGGGCAATTGGCAAGGTCATCTAAGGTCTGTGAATTTAAACAGTACTGTATTGATGTTGATATTGTGTGATTATGTAAGAACTAGTGGCCTGGTGCACAGATCCGTGTACACTGAAAGGAAATTAATTAGAAGAAATGTTTTAATATCACTATTCGCCCTTTCTTTATAATAGAAGTGTCAGCCAAATTCACGATGGAAAATAACAAACACACGCATGCAACTGACGCCAGCGAGAGCTTTATATGTATCATGCATACATGAGGCAACTTAGCCTTTTATATACACAGAATAAACTTGCTTAATTAGGCCTGCTTTCTGATTTAGCTAAACTTTTTCCAGCGCAGTGAAGCACCCCAACTTGTCTTTCAGGTAATTGTTAGCAACACAGCAGTAAATATCAACACAAAGCAGATTATTATTGTAGATCACGCAGGGAGAACAAAGGCTAAAATATTTAACTGCAGCAGTGTTTGACTATATTCTGCACAGTGAGAAAACCTGAAGTCATTTTTGAGGTCCACCATTTCTTCTTTTCAGTCGGGTCAAGTTTCTAAACTTTCTAAATCTCCATTTTCCAGCTAACGAAAAGAAAATAGGATTCTACTGAGTCTCTATCTACCTACTCCAGGACTTCTGTGAAGATCAAATGAGATGAGGCACAGGAAAATGCTTCACAGACATTTGGTTAAAGTGTGAAATGTTTGCACCTGGTTATAAAGCAAGCAAGTCATGTTCCTGGGCTGAAGAAACTGCAAGGAGGCTAGTCGTTGCTAGGGAGAGGAAGCCAGGTGTTGCTATATGACGTCATTACCCAGATGGACACTTAGCATATTAGCCTTTTATATATATAGACTAGAGGCCCGGTGCACAAAAATTTGTGCACTCGGGGGGAAGGAGGGGTCCCTCAGCCCGGCCTGTGCCCTCTCACAGTCTGGGACCCCTCGGGAGATAACGCCCTGCTGGCTTAGGCCTGCTCCCGGGTGGCAGAGGGCAGGCCCAATCCCTAGGTGCAGCCCCTGGTCGGGCTCAGAGCAGGGCCGATTGGGGAGTTGGGGCGCCTCCCCCTGTAATGCACAGAGCAGGGCGGATTGGGAGGTTGCGATGCCACCCTCAGTCACGCTCAGGGTAGGGCCGATTGGGGGGTTGGGGCACCGGCCCCTGTCACACACAAGGCAGGGTCGATGGGGAGGTTGCGGCGCCACCCCCTGTCACGCACAGAGCAGGGCTAATCAGGGGGTTGGGGCGCCGCACCCTGTCACACACAGAGCAGGGCCGATCAGGGGATTGAGGCGCCGCCCCCTGTCACACACAGAGCCGCAGGGCGATCAGGGGGTTTGGGCGCTGTCCCCTGTCATGCTGATCCCGGTGCCGGGAGGCCTCGCGGCTCCGCTGATCCTGGTGCTAGGAGGCATATTACCCTTTTACTATATAGAATAGAGGCCTGGTGCATGGGTGGGGCTGGCTGGTTTTCCCTGAAGGGTGTCCTGGATCAGGATGGGGGTCCCCACTGGGGTGCCTGGCCAGCCTGGGTGAGGGGCTGATGGCTGTTTGCAGCTGGTCACACACCCTTCAGGGTGGGGGTCCCCACTGGGGTGCCTGGCCAGTCTGGGTGAGGGGCTGAGGGCTGAAGCTCCCAACTGCTCCTTTTTTTCTTTTTTTTTATTCTGGGCCAGCTTTAGCTCTGGCTCCAGCTCTGAAGCCTCTGCTGCTTAAAGCAGGTATCTGGTTTGTTTGGGTTCTATAATCGAAACAATGTATAACTCCAGCTCTGAGATCCCGGCTTGCTGAAAGCAGGTTTCTGGGGTTTTGTTTAGCTTCTATATTTGTAACAATGTTTCAAACTGCAGGATCGAGGCCAGCAAGGCAGGCGGGGAACGTTGGAGTCCTCCCTCACTGAAGCAAGCAAGCCTCATGTTAGTTTCAAGCTGCCTGGCTGCCGGCCGCCATCTTGGCTGGCAGTTAATTTGCATATCACCCTGATTAGCCAATGGGAAGGGTAGCGGTCGTATGCTAATTACCATGTTTCTCTTTTATTAGATAGGATGTCCTGTTTTTAGGAAATATGCCTTAAAGAATTTAGGGACATATGGCATCTTGTGTAAAACAGTTCAGGAAAAATTATACACACAAATACAAATACATACATAGAATATAAAACATGAATGGTAAAATGTTAACATCTAGGAATAAAAACTTAAAGAGAAAAAATAAAATTACTGAAAATCATTGAGATATTTAACAGTGCTATTAAGTGTTTATCTTTGTCTTAGTTAATAAAAACAAAAACAAAAAAAAACAAAAAAAAAAACCTGCTTAGTAATTTCACTAGAGATCAGGGAACTTGTCTTCTATTCCTATCACTGCAGTCACTTTCTAGATATTTTTGACAAATTATAACTTCCCTCAGCCTAAAGTTTCTCATCACAGATAAAATAATAGATACAGCTAAAGAGGTACGAGAATGAGATGAAAATTAGCTGTATTTACCTGTATGTTTCCCTCACCTGTTTTTAAGGGGAGACAGGAAAGAACATTTTCTTAACACCATCAGTCTGGCAGCCTGCCATTCTCAATAGCAACAGTCCTGAACGTCTGAAGGCAGCAAACTTAGTTGCTGCAATCTTAAAAGAGGATGTTTGGCACTTTACATAACATGTTTTGACAGTGATTTAACAGTTGGTATCCTAGAGAGTAGTTACTTGCTCTCTAAAAAAAAAACACAGAAATTTGATATCTGCTCATTAGTTTCAAAACCTCGTTTTTCACAATAGCCCTCCCCAAAAGAACATTCTTCTCTGGTTTTTCTAAGGAAATTTTAACTTAGGTTATATATTATAGCAATGATACATTTTAAGAATTTTCCTCATAATTTATTGCCCAATTTTCTTGGAGATCTCACCAAGGTATGCATTTCCCTGCCTGAAAGAGGTGTTTTTACTTTTTTTCTTAAGAAATATAAATGAAGTCTGTGATCTCTGTTCCCCAATATATATCAGGCACTCCTCACTGAAGCAAGTCTATATATCTCTTCTAAGAAGCTAAAAATCCTAAATACATCAGGGAAAAGATTTTCAAGTCAATTCTGTTTATAATTTTTTACTTAGTTCTTTTTAAAATATTATAAATAAGTAGGGCAGAAGAAAGATTTGCAATTAAAATTAAGCTATCATCATGCAGTGTTTTGGCAAGCCAGCAATACCATGCAGCTTTCAAAGGTCTTAACAATCTGATAATGTGAACATTAGGGTACTCATGCCTCAGGGATGCAGTTCCGCTACTCCTACCCCAGGTAAGGGGAAAAGAGAAAGAACCAAAGAGAATAGGTGTCAGCCATTTGACCTAGATTGTAATTGTGAGTTCTGTCCAAATAAGATTCTGTAGGTATAGAAACTCTGGGCCACTTCCAAGCCTGACAGAGACTGACCTTCCACTGGGTCTGGAACCTTGATGTTACATTTGATTAGGTAACATTCATTAGCCAAAGATTACATCAATTAGTCCCTTTCTAGGCTCAAAGTTCTCACACTAGAGAAGAGTAACTAGAGACCTCAGGCCTTCAAAGGCTCACCAGGATCCCTGGAGCTACAACGGCCTCTGCATAAACTCATGGGAACTCAAGATTCTAATTTGCCTGATCTGGGCCCTGGAGTGAAGTTATCCTTAAACCTATCCTGCTTCATTTAATTCATAAAATTATTGGACACTGCTTCATATCAGACTGTTATTTCTTAAGCTGACTTTCATTTGTCTAAACACTGTAACTATTATTGTATGTCCTCTTTATATTCTGTAGTTTCTGGTTATACTGTACAGAAAACAATACTCTTTAATGTACACGGGGTCAAAGGACATTGAAAACGATACTTTTACAAGATCACTCTTTTAACAGTCTTTTAATCCTGAGATTAAATACTTTCATGTGGTAAGGATTCCCATATTTATTTTTCCAGCCCAGACCTCTGTTGTGTGTGTGTGTGCCTATTCTGTACCTCTTTTTCCATGCCCACTAGGATGTCTCAGAGGCATTAAAATTTTACATTATACCTACCCCAAATTAATTGTTGGTATCACCTTCCCTCAAAGCTGCTTTTCTCCCTGTCTCAAAAAAGAAAACACAAAATCTCTATTTACCTACTCTTCTATACAAAGAAAGATATGATTCTTGACACCTCCCTTACTCTCGTCTATTGCAGTTGATCCTCATTAGTCATGGATTCTGTGTACAGCAGGCCCTCGGGTTACGTCGGAGATCCATTCCTACGTAAGCACCTGCGTCACTCACATGGCGCACATATACAGCAGTAATGAATTGAGACAGTAAAAAAAATTAAAAGAAAGATAATTCCTGACCTTTACTTGTGGTAAATAAATAATAAAAAACATAAAGCACACATGTACATACGTCAAAATGACAGAACTTTTTTTATAAATAAATGGGAGATGGCGACATAACCACAAAACGACGTACGTCAAGTCCGATGCAACCCAAGGACCGTCTGTATGCGAATCTGCCAATATGCTAAAATGTATTTGTAATCCCAGAATCGATCCTCACAGCACTTTCAGTCATCGGTGGAATGTAAAGTTGCAAAAACATTCAGTGGCCTGATGCTCACATTTTCAGCGGACGTAAAATAAAGGCAATACTCTGACTTCTTATTTCAGCTCATACTGTAAACAAGCACAGTCTATCTAGTGCCAATTTTTTTTATATTTTTGTGCTTTTTAATTTTTTTTTTTTTTTTTTGGTGATTTTACTGTTTAAAAATGACCCCCACGAGTAGTGCTAAAAAGTGTCGTGCTCCTTAGTGCAAGAAGGCTGCTATATGCCTTAGAGAGAAAAACACATTAGGTAAGTTTTGTTCAGGTATGAGTCTAGTGTTGTTGTCTGTGAGCTCAATGCTAATGAATCAATAATATATATTGCGAATCCGTGCACAAGTAGCTCGCTGCCACTTGCTTCAGCTGGCCGCCCCGCCCACCGCCGCTCATGGCTCTCCACCGCACGTAGCTCGCTGCCTCACCCTCCTGCTGTTCAGTCTTTATGTGACAGCGCCCCAACCAATTTGCATATTACCCTATTATAAGTATAGATAAGGTGTCTTTAAACACAAACACACATAAAACAACGTCAAATAAAATCCAAAATCCTTCACAGGCCCATAGGGTTGCTCTGATATCCTTCTGATCTCTTCTCCTTTACTCCCCTCTCACAATTCTCCAGACACACTAATTCGTTATTCACTCTTCTCTCTGACTTCTCTCTGCTCTTTTCTTGTCTATCTTCTACTCAATCTTCAGGTCTTAGTTTAAATATAATATCCTCAGAGGGAAAGCCCTCTAATCCAAATGGAAGCCCTCTATTATAGTTACAGCATCTTCTACTTCTCCGTAACAACACCAATTTATTATTTGCTTAAGTATCTGATTCTCCACTAGATTGTAAGTTCCATGAGGACAGAACTGTGCCTTCTTAGTTTTCAGCTATACTTCTTACATCTGGAACAATGTTGAGCACATGACTGGGGCTTAATAAATGAATGAAACTGATTATCCCATTACATCTTTTTAATAATATATTGAAATAGACATAGCATGACTATATGCTTAAAATGTGTGGAGGAAGTGAAACACCTATTATTTGGATGTGGCAGTGATATGTTTCTCTGTAAATGAACCTTAATTATAAGCAAGACACTATGAAATTCAAATTTATTGAGTCTCTGCCATCTCCACATAGTATAAAATGATGTGCACTTACTTTAACAATTAGCCAAGACTACACATATTACTGAGTAAAGAGTGTTACTATGGAGACCATACTAAATAAGCAGCCAAACAAGTTGATCTATAATGAGGTAAAGCTTTGCATAGCTCAGATAAAGTTCTGCAATGATATGCGAATCAACTCGATAAAGTTATACCTTACCATAGGTTAAAGTGGAAAGAAGAGAAAAATAACTTACTCCCTTCAATAGTTTTCTCCATTTAAATAGCAGTTCCAGTTTATTTCCTTTTTCTGTCATTCTCTAAAAATTTGAAATAAAAATTCAGTAATATTTTATCTAATTTTTACATTAACTTTATTTTCCTGGGAACATAGAGGAAATTTATTATTTTAATCATCAAAAAGTTTTTTTTCCTGTATTTTCTTCTTTGAAGAGGTTTTTCAAGTTCTAAACCTTTTGTTATTTCTCATATAATTCTTTCACATTCTCCCACAATATCCTGAAATGGTTATCCTTTCTCAAAAATGGTGAAAGTATTGCTCCTACTATGAAAACAAAGATTTTTTTAAAAGTCTAGTCTCATCGAAAGAATTAGCTGTATAGAAAGAATTAGTTTAACACTGTGGTAAAGAATTTTCTAACAGATATAAATTCAAAAATATGAAATCAACTTTGGTTAGCTTTATGTATAACAAATCAACTCAAAATTTTTTCAAGTAACAAATATTTTTGATATTTAGAAGTTTCTCCATCACAGCAAATAAAGCACTGGCAGCCAATATGTGTTTTTTAAAAACTATATAATATCCTACTTGCCTATGAAACTTATTTTTTAATTACCAATTTTAATGTGAACAAGAAATGACGCATGGAGAACGTCTGGAAAATCTTTTACTTTGTTGCAAATGTCACACCAAGAAATAGAAAAGACACATATAAAGTTCTAAGCTCTTTAATTTGTTGCAACTCTTACCTGTTCGATTCACTTAGTGGCCCAGCCATAGTGCAGCCATGTACTTTATTCATCTTTTCCCTATTTTCAAATTGCTCCAGGTGCATTATCATAAGCCAACTCGCCTCTCAAGATCTACGATCAACTTTCAACATTTTTACTGGTTATCTTTCCCAAACTGGTAGCTATGCTTTCATTTCATTAAATCAATCATCAGACAGTGCTGAAAAAGCAATCACAATGTCCTTCCATTTCAGTGTGTAGCTACCAATCTGTGACCTTATAGGTTGAAATAATTCTCCTTTATCTTTATTCCAAGAAATTAACATTTTCACAGATATCCTCTGGAAAGTAAACTCTTTTTTCCAATAAATAAAATATTTTTTGTTATGAATAGCAGGTATTCAGTTTCTGCCAATGTGTTTTTGAAGAAGTGCCTGATAATTTGCCAACATATTTCTCCATAAAAAATCATATTCACTTTAAAATCCAGCAATTTCAAATATATTTCACTTTTTTCATGGTCTATAAATTTTTTCCCACTTAGAAACTCCTTGTGTTTAAAATATTTTGAATGGCCCTGGCTGGTTTGACTCAGTGGGTAGAGTGTCGGCCTGCGGACTGAAGGGTTCTGGGTTCAATTCCAGTCAAGGGCATATGCCCAGGTTGTGGGCACAAATCCCCAGTGGGGGCATGCAGGAGACAGCCTATCAATGATCCTCTATCATCATTGATGTTTCTCTCCCTCCCTCTCCTTTCCTCTCTGAAATCAATAAAACTATATTTAAAAAGACAGAAAACAGGCATTGACCAAAAAAAATTATTCACTTAAAAAAAAATCTTTTGGCCGAAACCAGTGGATAGAGCGTCGGCCTGCGGACTGAAAGGTCCCAGGTTCGATTCCGGTCAAGGGCATGTACCTGGGTTGCGGGCACATCCCCAGTAGATGTGCAGGAGGCAGCTGATCGATGTTCCTCTCTCATCGATGTTTCTAACTCTCTATCTCTCTCCCTTCCTCTCTGTAAAAAATCAATAAAATATATTAAAAAAAAAAAAAAAAGGGGGGGGACATGAATAAGAAATTTAAAAAAAAAAAAAATCTTTTGAATGATTCTTCTTCACAGCCAAGTTTTTGTTAGCCATATAATGTGAAATGCCAACCACCAAAACTCTTTATATCATAATTCCTTCATTTTTCCTGATTGTCCCTGGTCTTTGTGTACTTTGCAGGTAAATGTTCACAAAAGAGTCTCTACATTATGCTGGTGACAGAAACAGCAACTAATTATTGATGATGATGTTGATTAAGTATAGTAATTGGTTTTCCACACTTGTTATTTCAATACCATTATTTGACTTGTCTGGGGAGTTTTAGAAATTTGTGTGCTATATCTATATCTATGTCTATATCTATATATCTATATCTATATCTAAAAGCCTAAGCGACTGGCTGATTGGCCAATAGCTATAACACGCACTGACCACCAGGGGGCAGATGCTCAACACAGGACCTACCGAGCTGTGGTCACTTGGCAGCGGTGGTTCTCCAGTGCCGCACCCAGAACCAGAGAGGAGAGAGCCTGATTCTGGGGTGTGTCACCCGAAAACTGCCCTCTTGCAACCCGGGATCTCTCGGGGGATGTCAGAGAGCCAGTCTCGGCCCAACCCCCACAGGCCAGGCCAAGGGACCCTACTGGTGCATGAATCTGTGCACTGAGCCTCTCTAGTTTTTATATAATTTCAAAAAAAGTTTCCACAAAACAAACTATAACTGACCATACCCATAACACTGAATATCTGAAAAATTAGAAATACTACACACCATAAAACATCAAAATAGAACAAAGTCTGTGCAGGTGGGTTGGCAGAAGACTAGCCTAACTGCTAAGTTACACCAAAGGCCTCATTGCTTTTTTTTGCACATTGGTTTTTTAAAATTCTTAAGAGTCACAAAACAACTGAACCATAATTTGATTTTACAGTTTAAAATGCCTCATTTCATGCTTAACAGTCCTATTTCAATCTTGAGTCCCCAAGGAAATTAGGAAATAAAGAGAAGAAACGTGTTCCCCTATCCTTCTTCCAACAGCCCTATATTTGTCTTAAAAGAAGTTAGACCTTAAGATTTTGTTCATTTAGTCACTCTTAGGTTGTTATATGGAAACTGTCCTGAAGTTTTAAACATACAGACTTTTGCCTTTGGAACACTTACTTTTTTAAAAAAAGTATATTTTTATTGATTTTCAGAGAGGAAGGGAGAGTGAGAGAGAGAAACATCAATGATGAGACAGAATCAATGATAGGCTGTCTCCTGCATACCCACTACTGAGGATCAAGTCAGCAACCCAGCATATGCCCTTGACCAGAACTGAACCTGGGACCCTTCAGTCTGCAGGCCAACACTCTATCCACTGAGCCAAACCCACTAGGGCTGAAACACTTTTTTAATTGATTTTGGAGAGGAAGGAAGAGAGAGAGACAGAAACATCAATGATGAGAGAGAATCATCGATCAGCTGCCTCCTGCACACCCCACGGGAGATTGAGCCCACAACCCAGGAATATGCCCTTGACCGGAATCGAACCCGAGACTCATCAGTCCACAGCCAACACTCTTTCCACTGAGCCAAACTGGCTAGGGCTGAAACACTTATTTTTAAAGGCACAATAAGGCCTCTCATTTAGCTGACATTATCCAAAATGAAGAATCTTTTAATGAAAGCCAAATATCAATAAAAATAAATCTTGTTCAGTAAGAAACTGAAAGGTCTGAGATTTTACCTTACTTTCAGCCTAACAAGTTAGGCTGCCTGTAAGATATATTTTAAACTCAAAACCATTAAAACTTTCTACCTTCTGGCCTGAGTTACGTTCCTGTTCTTTCCTCCCTCCCCAAGCCATGTTTAGTAATTTTCCCCACATGATCATTTGTAATCATATGTGTTTACTGATTGTCCCTCTTCTACTAAACCTAAGTTCCAAGCAAGCAGGAACCCTATCTATTTCATTCACACCTGTACATTCAGCACCTGTTATAAAACTGTCACATAGAAATCACTTAATAATCATGTTAAATGAAATTTAAATGTAATTTTTTCTACCTAAACTCTGACACATCCTATTCTGCATTGGTTCCCCACTCATATCTCAAAACCTGTAGGAAGTCTCACCTGCTCACATGACCCAGATGGGCTCACATATCATAAATCTTTCCCTAAGTAATTTCCTACAAAATGTTATTTCATTCTCACAACCCTGTATTTTTTTCTCCCATTAAATTAGGAAGAAACTAAAGCTTAAGAGGTAAGAAATGCATGTAAAGTCATAATCCCGGTGAGGCTAGGATGAAAATTAGGTGTCTCACTCCGAAGTCCCTATTCTTAATCCTCTTTTACACTGCATCCTTAGCTAAAATGATTCTCATATGATGTTATTTGATTCCAAGCCCAGTGCTGCCACATATTAACAGTGTAATATTGAGGACCTCAGATGCTGTACAAGTAAAATAGGGGTAATTGTAGCACTTACCTACAAATATAAAGGTTAAATGACATAATGAAAAGCACAATGCACAGTGCCGAGCACTTAACACAGAAAACACTCAAGAGATGTTCACTATGATCATCATTATAATCCTCTAAACAGGTCAGCAAATTTTTTCTGGTAAAGGCCGAATAGCAAATAGTTTAGGCGTTGTGAATCATACGGTCTCTGCTGCAACAAAGCAGGCAGCATGCTGGATTTGGCTCAAGGTTCTCCAACTCCTTGGCACTACTCATATCTAAGGCTGGTTAATTCTTTGTTGTGTATGGCTGTCTTGTGCATTATAGGATGTTTAGAAGCATCCTTTGTCTACCCACCACATGCCAGTAGCAACCCCCAAGTTGGGACAACCAAAAATATTTCCTGGGGAGCAAAATCGCCTCAAGTTGAGCAATGCTACTCTACAGCAATCAACCATAAAAATGTAGCTTGATTTTTTTTTCTAATAATGAAAATACCTTAAGTGGAAAAAGAACTTAATTCATTAAGAAGTAATTATACTCACTTAGCTAAAATTCCCACACTTAACAATAACTTTATAACTTCTGTGATACACACGGCTGTGGTTGAAAAGTAGAGTTCTTTGTCTGATGTCCTTGTGTATCTTAAAGCTATGGTATACGTTGCAGCCACCAGGGTCATCACTGTCAAGCAGTATAACTTGAATAATAAGCTGACATTTTCTGGAAAATATCAACGAAGATATTATTTAGTAGACAATATCAATGTATATAAAAGTTAATCAACATTATACCTCAAAATGCCTTCCAACCTCAAGCACAAAATAACTTTTTAAACCCATATTTAAAAATTTACTTTAAAGCAATATTTTCCACTTATATGAACATAAACAAACACACATACACAGAACACAGTGAGTTTGAATATCAACTGGTTAAGAACTGATTTTGTTCCTGGGAATGCCTCAATTGCAAGACTGATTCTAGTTTGGGATGTTATAAATTACCTATGTATAATAATCTACATTAATAAAAGCATAATATGCTAACTAGACCAGACAACCTTCTAGACGAAGCCACAGCGAGGCAGAGACAGCCACCATGGTGGCGGGGGCCAAGCCCCTTGCATGAATTTCGTGCATCGGGCCTCTAGTTTTATAATCTTTATAACTCAAACTTATGAAAACAATTATAGCATTTTATATCCTAAATTTAAAGACAGCAGAAAGAAAAACAAAAAGGACTGAGTGATAAAAATGGAGCTTAATATAAAATTTATCATATAATAAAAAAAAACAAATCATGTGGCCTCTTGTTTCATAGCTTTATGCACAGAAAAATACTTCATAACTCAAAAGAAGAGTATTAAGAATGAAGCCCTATAAAACTGGGAATGTTGGATATGTACAACTTATAAACACTCAACTTAAGAACTGCTTGCAAGTATATGTGCGTTGCAGCCATCACTCAGGCACCAGGGTGGGTCCAACAACCTCCATAAAGCCCAGGCAATGGGGTACCAGGTCTCCCTCACACTTCGCTCCTTACTCCCAGCCATGCTCTGATCCTGCCATCACCCAAGGCTCAAAATATTTCTACTTTCTTTACAAACCTCCCACCTCTCAATCTTAACCTTTCAAAGCTTCAAGCTCAGGTTACACAAGGGTCAGCAACATTTTTTCTGTAAAGTGCAAATAGTAAACATTTTAGGCTTCTCACCCTACCAGGCAAAATCACGAATAACATGTAACATAAGAGAAAACAAATTTTCTGACAAATTCAAAATATAACAATTGAGTACAATGCTTTATAATATATGTCTGCTATTGAGAACAGAATTATTTCAAGGGGTAACATTTTGCTTCATTGGTCTTCAGAATTACTGCTCCATCAAATCAATTGCAACTGTTCATCTGTAAAAACCATGGGCTGTACAAAACCAAGTGACAGGCTGGATTTGGCCAGTGGGCCATACTTTGGCAGCCGGATGAAGAATCAGTCACCCCTCTGGACAGGGGTGACCCTGGGCTGCTACTGTAACTACAATATCCACTAAGTATGCTTTTGTTCACTGCTTTGGGAGCCTAACCACAATTCAAAGATGGCTTTCACAGGGAAATAAACCAGGAGTTACATATGTGAGGCAGAAACCTTCAAGGTTACAGGTTCTTCAATATAAATATTTCCCTGGGGGCAATTAAAGAATTATTTGTAAATTATAGACAATTTTTAAAATTATATCAGTTATTAACTAAAAAGTAATGTGGTAGAACAAAAGAAGTAGAGCTTATATCTGCCTCAACTTTCTTTCCAAAAGATCTGAGCCAAAAAGCAATGTCTATGTGAAAGGAAGTGAAGATCACTACAATACTTCCTTTGTTTTAACACTTTCCCTAATCAAGGGAAAAGTATATAACTGCAAAAATACACAGCAATAACCTTTAGTTACTCAATAAATGAGAACGCACTTCCCATCTTCTAGATTAGGGGTGAGCAAACTACATCTCATCTGTCATTGTTATACAGCCTGCAAGTTCAGAAACAATAGTTGGAAAATATGTTTAAATAATCTTTTGTGACACAAAAATTATATAAAATTCAAATTCCATATCCATAAATAAATCACTATTGGAAAACAGGCATGCTCATTTGTTCCCACTTTTTTTTTTTTTTTTTAATTTCAGAGAGGAAGGGAGAGGGGGAGAGAGAGAAACATCAATGATGAGAGAATCATGATCACTTGGTATGGAATACTTAAAAACATAAACTTTAAATAAATACTTAATGCTTTTAAGCATTATTTTCTCTCATTTCAGTTTAACATTGGATCAAAATAGTTCTTCACTCCATTCACAAATTCTCCAGTATGGAATTTCAATTACTAGCAATTTCAAATTTTCAAGGTAAAAATAAAAAGTTCATGTCATGTACTCGCTGTAAATTCTGCTAAGTATTCGCATTGTGCCCAAGGCCTGTAACTATAAACCTAGCCCGCAACTCACTGAGTTGGCACACTGGCACGTTAGCACATCTGCACTGGTTTCCATTTCCCAAAGTTCCCATTCGCTCCCTCACATTATTTGTTCCTGTGTAGACTAATGTTCCCCAAAAGGGATGTACGGTTTGAAGTGGTTTTTGTTTTTGTTTTGTTATATTTTACTATATTTTAGAGTGGGGATTATTTTTAATGCCTGAGAACTTGGAAGTTCTAGCAAGTTCCAGATAAATCTTTGGGAATATCCGGAAGCTATAGCAACTGCTTTTCTGTTAGGATTACATGTTTCTAGATTGCATAAGAGATCTATAACATGACCAAGGCACACGAATATGTACTGGCAATAGCCTAACCAATAAAATGTTACAACTATTTCAGATAATGACCCGGATTCCTTTAAGTTTCACTCATTACTCTTGCTGTTCCCACCCTGTTAATTATCAAAACAATTCTGTCTTTCTTCCTGTGTTTCCTGTGCTGTGCTGCTTTTAAGGCTCTTAAGGTTGGACTGACTTGAAATGGGAACATGCATAAAAGCAGCATAAGGAACTACAGGCAGTCATCCTGGGCAGGGCTAAATGATAAATGCGGGCTCCCCAACCAGGAAACGAATCTGGCACCCATGCAAAAGTACTCTTTAAATATTTGTTCGACATTTACCCAGAGATGAAGCCAAGTGCTCTATGGGGAAGGGTGTCACCCGACCCCTCCCGGCCAGTGCTCGACCGCCCTACTGACCCCACAGCAAAGCGGGAAAGCTGCGGAGTCCCTCCCGCTCACCCTCAGGAGGCGGCCACCAGTCACCCAACAGCACCAGACGGGCCATTCCTGCGGAGGGTGGGTCTCCGCACCTTCACCCACACACCCGGTCCCTTTAAGCACCCGCAGCACCGTCCTCGGGACACGGCTCTCCCCGCCGCCCGGGGGTCAGCGCCTTAACGCCCAGGGGCCTTCCCACCGGCGGTTACGGGACCAGCCGCGCGGGGGCTCCGCACGGGAGCCGCCCCCGCGCCTCCGGGCACCGCGGCAGGAGGCGCACCTGGGACCGCGGGCGCGCGCGCCGGGCCGGGACCGCTCCCGCCGGGAGCCGCGGGTCCAGCAGGGACTGTGCCCGGCCCTCCCCCGGCCGCGCAGCCCGGGCCGGTCTGACTTGGTTCCCGCCCACCCCGCTCGTTGGGGCCGACGCGGTCTGGAGCCGCCGAGCGATCCCGCGCGGAGGCAGCCGCAGTGGGAGGCCGGCTGCCCGGACCAGCGGCGGCGCGGACTCCCGGGGGCGGCTCCGCACGCACTGCTCATGCCGGCGCCTCCGCCGAGCCCCGCAGCGCCGAGGGTGCTGCCGAGCGCTGGCGCTCCCCTGCCGCCCCCGCGCCCTCCCCCATTCCCGCGGCCCCAGGCTCACCTTTCGCCCCTGCCATCTTCCCCGACAGCCCCGCGCGGAACTGACGCGCGCTCCTCCGCGCCCGCACGCTGAACACCCGGGACCGCCTCCGTCGTCATAGAGACGAAGCGCTCGGCCTAGAGTGCCCGGCGGCCGGCCGCCCGCTTCCCGGCCATCCAGGGACAAGGATTAGGCGCGGAAACCCGTGCCACTCCCGACAGTGAGACGCTACGGCTGGAGCGGAGGCCTTGCTGACAAGTGCGTAAAACTCGACGGGAAGGCGTCTTCTGTGAACTACAACCCCCAAGGGAGTGGAGCCAAGGGAGCAGAGCGTTGCCTTCTGGGACTTGTAGTCCAAAGCAAGTCGACAGCGAATAAGGATTTGCGGTTAGCCTTCATGATTCTTGTAGGTCCAAGCTATTGCAGAAACTCCCACAACTCATAACAGAAACTACTTTCGGCAACGTTGTAACCTCCGGCAAGTCCATTCCCTTCCAATGTCACCTCTTACTGAACCTAAACAATTTACATTACATATTGTTCAGAAGTCTTGTGCCTGTGTCCTTATAGTCAGGATTATCATCCTGTATAATAATCCTATATAATAAAAAGCTAATATGCAAATCGACCGAATGGTGGAACAACTGGTTGCTATGACGTGCACTGACCACCAGAGGGCAGACGCCCAATGCAGGAGCTGCCCCCTGGTGGTCAGTGTGCTCCCACAGGGGGAGTGTCACTCAGCCAGAAGCCAGGCTCACCACTGGTGAGCGCAGCAGTGGTGCCTGGAGCCTCTCCCACCTTTTTGTCATTCGGACAGCCCCCGAGGGCTCCCGGACTGCAAGAGGGTGCAGGCTGGGCTGAGGGACCACCCCCCAGTGCACAAATTTCGTGCACCGGGCCTCTTGTCGATTATAATTAGCCAGACATTCTAACTACACCATCGTTGCACAACAAAAGGGCTTCAAAAATATTAGATGTGTCAACTGGCAATTACTTCAACCTCTATAATCTCCACTTTCAATAGAGGTTATTAGCATTAGCAATGTTAGAAATAATTTATTGGCAAAATGAATGTCTTTCAAGATGTGTGAATTGGTTAAAAATACTACAAAGGTACTTCATCCCTCAAAGGAACAGGGGTACAAGATTCTGAGATGCACAGCAGGTTACACCTTCTGTAGAATATTTCCAAAATGACTTTAAAGGTTTGAGTAGTTGATGTTATATACTATTTTCTTATCATCAGATATACACACAGATATATCTAGTCTATTTCCAACATTATTGGAAAATTTTGCCATATTAACAT